GGGCGGCGCTGAGCGACCTTCGTTTATTTGATGGTTGTTAATGACACCTTTAGAGGGCGGCGCTGAGCGACCTTCGTTTATTTGATGGTTGTTGACGATGCCTTTAGAGGGCGGCGCTGAGCGACGTTTGTTTATTTGCTGTTTGTTAATGGCGCCTTTAGAGGGCGGCACTGAGCGACGTTTGTTTATCTGATGGCTGTTAATGACGCCTTTAGAGGGCGGCGCTGAGCGACGTTTGTTTATCTGAAGGCTGTTAATGACGCCTTTAGAGGGCGATGCTGAGTGATGTTTGTTCATCTGATGGTTGTTAATGACGCCTTTAGAGGGCGGTGCTGAGCGACGTTTGTTTATTTGATGTTTGTTAATGACGCCTTTAGAGGGCAGCGCTGAGCGACGTTTGTTTATCTGATGGCTGTTAATGACGCCTTTAGAGGGCGGCGCTGAGCGACGTTTGTTTATTTGATGTTTGTTACTGGCGCCTTTAGAGGGCAGCGATGAGCGACGTTTGTTTATTTGATGTTTGTTAATGACGCCTTTAGAGGGCGGCGCTGAGCGACGTTTGTTTATTTGATGTTTGTTAATGGCGCCTTTAGAGGGCGGCGCTGAGCGGCGTTTGTTTATCTGATGGCTGTTAATGACGCCTTTAGAGGGCGGCGCTGAGCGACGTTTGTTTATCTGATGGCTGTTAATGACGCCTTTAGAGGGCGATGCTGAGTGATGTTTGTTCATCTGATGGTTGTTAATGACGCCTTTAGAGGGCGGTGCTGAGCGACGTTTGTTTATTTGATGTTTGTTAATGACGCCTTTAGAGGGCAGCGCTGAGCGACGTTTGTTTATCTGATGGCTGTTAATGACGCCTTTAGAGGGCGGCGCTGAGCGACGTTTGTTTATTTGATGTTTGTTACTGGCGCCTTTAGAGGGCAGCGATGAGCGACGTTTGTTTATTTGATGTTTGTTAATGACGCCTTTAGAGGGCGACGCTGAGCGACGTTTGTTTATCTGATGGCTGTTAATGACGCCTTTAGAGGGCAGAGCTGAGCGACGTGTGTTTATTTGATGTTTGTTAATGACGCCTTTAGAGGGCGGCGCTGAGCGACCTTCGTTTATTTGATGGTCGTTAATGATGCCTTTAGAGGGCGGCGCTGAGCGACGTTTGTTTATTTGATGTTGTTAATGGCGCCTTTAGAGGGCGGCGCAGAGCGACGTTTGTTTATTTGATGGTCGTTAATGACGCCTTTAGAGGGCGGCGCTGAGCAACGTGTGTCTATTTGATGTTTGTTAATGACGCCTTTAGAGGGCGGCGCTGAGTGACGTGTGTCTATTTGATGGTTGTCAATGACGATTTTACGATGCAGTGCCTCCTTTACTAAAAGCCACACAGCTGTTTTATGTGAAGTAGCCTAAACTTCTGATGCGCCATTAGGGAACACAGGTGTCTCTCCTATCCAGGTGAAACTGGTCACATCACCTTACAGATTTACACACTTCAGCCCTTTGCTAATATGAAATTTACCTGCTGAAGCCTCAGCCAGCTCTGCTCTAGAGAAACTTACCGAGTCAGAACTGTTCACAGTGGTGGTGATAGGAACCGGACGTCCACCTCTAAAAGCTCCCTCACAGAAAGTTACTAAACAACTGAAAGTGGTTACTAAGACACTGTTTCACAAATTTTATGAAAATCTTTTGGCATTAAAATGTATTTTTTAAACTCCATTCACGGTGGAGGGATACATGCAGGGCGCTGTGAGGCAAAATAGTCCCCAGAGAAAACTTATCATTTTAGATTTTCCACTGTTTTCCATCATCAACATTTCAACCCTCCTTAAAAGTCCAAACTCATCTAATTATTTTGGTCTGATTTATTTTTATTTATTTATTTTTAATATGTATAGTAGTTTTCAGTAGGTTGTGGAAGTGCACTACAACATAGTTGATCTTATTTTGATCTTAATTAATTTTATTAACTATTTTTATATTATTCTTTTAATATATATCGCTGTTGTCGGAAGAAAACCTCGCATCTCCAAATTTTACAGGAGAAGGAAAAAACCTACTTTACTTTCAATGTAAGTCAATGGAACCAGACGTTTTTCCAAGTAATTTTGGGTCATTTCTTTTGGACTATTTATCATGAAATTTACACACAATGTAAAGAGGTGTTTTCAAAACATGTCAAAAACTGAAAAACAACAAAAATGGAGATACAAGGTTTTCGTCCGACAACAGCGATATATAATTTATTTATTTTTTCCTTTTTTTGGGGTTTCAATTGAATTATATTTAATGTTCCACCGTTAAAAGACGTTGTTTTTTTTTTTAATTTTGCATAATAAATACATGATGCGTCCAAAGTCAATGAGTAACTGTGTTAAATAATGCTGATCTCAATATTAAGCAAAATGACTGAGACTATGAGATTACAAGAATATGATTGTTGCCATAATCAAGCAGCCCTAGTCGAATGAAAATCAATGAAATTCCCCTTTAACAGTGTCCAGCTGCTGCCGGTTTATCTGTATTGTAGGTCTGCCCTGCCAGCTACTTACTGTAAACGTGTTAACACCAACACTACTATCATTAACAGCCCCCCATAAAGCAAACGCACGGCAGCTGAACTGAGAGCAGCGAAGCGCTTTCCGACATGAGCCTGTGTGACTGGTTTGACTGGCTCACTATGCAGAAAATCCACTTTAACTTAGAAAAAATTAAAGCACCAACACATCTGGCACGGTCTGTTACAGTGACCAACACTTACTGAACCTGTTAGAGATTTACTGCCACTACCTGATGTCTCCACAGTGACTACACTGTCCAAATATGTATCTCTGCCATGGTTCACTATGTTGAGATGTACACAAAGTTCATTCAGAGTGGTTTGGTGTGAAATGGTTCAGATGTCTTTACAGTGGTGGTGATAGGAACCAGGGGTCGCCATGACTACAACACAAATATAGACATTTTATTTACTATCCAGAACCACCAGTGAACCTACACGAGTCTTCTGAGGTTCTGATGATGGAAAAATAGTGATAAATCTGAAATAACAGTTTTCTTTGGGGACTATTTTGCCTCTGCATATATTATAAAAACATATTTAGGTGCTCAAAGCTCCTCAAAACTATTGTAAAGCAATGACTCATATTCATAACCATGTCATATACCAACTCTAAAAGCTGTGTCAATGCATTAAAGCTGAAAACACTTCAGACATCAGGTTCCTATCACAGCCCACTGTGAGCCTCTCTACATCTTTATCTAGAACGGCACATTTCAAATCAAAACCACACTGAATGACTTTTTTTACACTGTAGCAATTTAACAATACAGATATTTTGGACGATAAGTGGAATTCCCCTTTAATACCACACTGGCCTTGAAGTTGTTTGAGTCAGAGAAGCTTCTGAGGCAGCGTAAGACACTAAATTAAAGGGGAATTCCACTGATTTTTCAAAGTTTCTGTATAATTCAGTGGTTTAGATGTAAACAGTCGTTCAGAGTGGTTTGGTGTGAAATGGTTCAGATGTCTTTACAGTGGTGGTGATAGGAACCAGGTGTTGCCAAGTCTACAACACAAATATAGGTATTTTATTTAATATCCAAAACCACCAGTGAACCTACATGTGTCTTCTGAGCTGTCTTCTGGCAAAATAGTGGAAAACCTGAAATAATTTTTTTTTTTGCGGGGCTATTTTACCTTGGAACAAACTTTTTGTATCCTTCCACCACGAATACATTAAAATAAATTGAAAAAAATACGTTTTGGGCCACAACTTTATCATAAAACTACTGTAAAGCAACGTCTCATACATGAGGCAGCATTCCATGTAATAACCTTATGAGGGAGCTTTTAGAGGTGGACGTCTGGTTCCTATCACCACCACTGTGAACAGTTCTGACTCTGTAAGTTTCTCTAGAACGGAGCGTTTCACACCAAACCGCTCTGAACGACTCTGTTTACATTTCCATCATTTAATCACGCAGGAAATTTGGAAAATTGGTGGAGTTCCCCTTTAAGAGAGTAGCGAGGGTGGTAGCTACTGAAGCTATGGTAATGTTAGCCAACGAGTTAGCTACTGTCTCTGTCTCTGTCTCGAGAATATCAGAATCTCCCGACAAACTTAAACTTTATCACGGGATATTCAGCCCTAAAACATGAGATAAACTGTAGTGATGTTCGCAGTGTGGGAAAAACAGCACATTAGACGAGCTGGGATCGCTAATAGCCAAGTTAGCTTAGCTAAGTTAGCTAACGCTAATGCTACTTTCAGAGCTGCAAAGCAAAACAACGCTAAAGTCGGCTTCCTATTCGCCAGCGTCGTGTTCGAATTCCCCGTTCCACCTTAAATTTTGCAGCAGTTACATTCCGTTCCACCTTACATGGTGTAGCGCTTAGATTCTGGCGCCTCAGGGTCTTGTTCGAATTTTCCCGTTCCACCTTAAATGGTGCAGCGGATACACTCTGGGTCCTCAGGCACAAGAACGTAACTGCTTCACCATTTAAGGTGGAACGGGAAAATTCGAACAAGAAGCTGAGACGCCGGAATGTAACTGCTGCAGAATTTAAGGTGGAACGCGAAATTCGAACGAGACGCCGAGGCGCCAGAATCCAAGCACCACACCACTTAAGGTGGAACGGAATGTCACTGCTGCACCATTTAAGGTGGAACGCGAAATCAGAACAAGAAGCTGAGGCGCTAGAATGCAAGTGCTACACCACTTAAGGTGGAACGGAAAAATGTAAAACATGAAGCTAAGGCGCCAGAACGTCACATGCACTATTTAAGGTGGTACGCGAAATTCGAACGAGAAGCCGAGGCGCCAGAATGTCACCGATGCAGCATTTAAGGTGGAACCCGAATTCGAGCGAGAAGCTGAGGCGCCAGAGTGTAACTGCTGCACCATTTAAGGTGGAACGGGGAAATTGAAACAAGTAGCTGTCCAGCCTAACAGCGCTGTGATAAGCTGGCACAGTGTAAACGAGTGAAGGTGGCTGGACTTACAGTGCATTTTTTGCCCAGGTGGCTGTAAAGCATGTCATTTTCTTGATTGGTGAGCAGGATGGAGCCGACGTTGTTGGGCCCCCTCCTCTGCGGCGGCTGCCCGCTCATGTTTGTGGACTCTACCGGCTACAGGACGGTCCGAAATCACGGCGGTGGGGGAGCTGGACCTTAAAGCAAGCGGTCATTGGTCTGTGATCGCTGCGGTCGCTGTTTTGAGATGTGACACGGCCGGAAAAGAAGAGACAGGCGAGAAGTTCTGGGCTAGAAGTTGTTCCAGGCTGTGAGGGAGTGAGGGAGAGAGGGAGAGGGAATCGCCGGGCCCAGGACTCCAAACTCAGGGAAACTCCGCTCCATCCGCGCCTCGGTCCACCATTGCGGAATGATACGGCGATGTTCTAGCCTCGCAGCCCGGAGAACCGTCGATGTCGCCCCGGTTGTTAGGAGGCCGAAAGGTCGGTCAGAAGTTCGCACTTCGGAGCTGTTCGGCTGCTGTCAGGCTGCGTTCTGGAAGAGGAATGCAGCGAGTGGGCGGGGCCTCGGCGAGAACGGGCGGGGCCAACTGAGTCAACACGGGATAACGAAGATGTCAATCAAACTTTTTTTTTTAATCCATTGAATCTTCACGTGACAGGGCAATACATAAATAACAAAGTAAAAAAATAGACAAATAAAAAATAAATAATAAAAATAAAATAATAATAATAATAATAATAATAAAATAAATCTGACTGGTATATAAAGTCATACATGTGTATGTATGTATAATCTATGTATCATCTATGTTACTCAGTGCAGTGTTTTAATTATTTCATTTCACAAAAGAGCATTTTTTATTCTGTTTTATGATAAAGAATCATAAAAAATCCAGCCATAAATTAGCAACCCATGCCATGACTCTGGTTTTGTATATATAAAATTTGCCAAACAAGGTTCATGCTTTCATAATCTCATTTATTGTGCATGAATTAGGAACAAGGCTATGTCAATCAAGCCTGAGGGGGGTTGGGCGGGGCTAGTGAGGATGGAATGCGTGACACATGGACATGACTGAACTCGAAATCAGTCTCTCAGTCCTGCCTTAAAGGGACATTCCACCGTCTTTTCAAAAGTTCTGCATAAGTCAATCACTGAGATGTAAACAGAGTGATTCAGGGTGGTTTTGTTGTGAAATGGTTCAGATGTCTTTACAGTGGTGCTGATAGCATATTTTGTCTTAAGCTGGTTTGTGTGTGTCACACTGCTATGGATGGGTTTTAAAAATACTTTTCAGGTCAAAACCTTTCATCAGAACTATTGTACACCAATGTCTCAGACGTCAGGCGGCATATTATTAACCATTACCTGTAATAACTTTCTGTGAGGGAGCTTTTAGAGCAGCGGTCACCAACCCAGAGATCTACCTTGCTGCAGAGTCTAGTTCCAACCACAATCTGCCACGCCTGCTCTGGCTAATAAGCTTCCTCAGAAGTCCTTGGTTGGCTGCATCAGATGCCTAAGTGTTAGGTAAGGAGGAGGCAGCATGTTTGGTGTAGGATGGAAGTAAACTCAGCAGTAACCACTGTTCTAAAATCATTAAACTCTTCAGACGTCTGGTTCCTATCACCACTACTGTGAACAATTATGACTCGATAAGCTTCTGTACACACTTAAAAATATGGTTTTTATGGGTTTTTAGTAAAGAAAATGGTTCCAGATAGAACCATGAACACTCATGATTACAGGGTTCTTTGCGTCATGAACAGGTTCTTCAGATTGATGGAGAATGTGTTGTATATGGGTCTGTATAGCACCAAAAAGGGTTCTTCTATTGTTACGATGTCAAGCCTGTTACAGTAGAAGAACCCTTTTTGCTATATAGATCCCTTTTCAAAAAGGTTCTATACAGAACCATCTTTCACGATGCAAAGAACCACTTAATAATGCAAAGCGTTCTTTAAGTGTTTATGGTTCTATATATAGAACCATTTCTTTACTAAAGAACCCTTTAAGAACCATCTTTTTTAAGCATGTAGAACGGAGCATTTCACACCAAACCACTCTGAATGAACTTTGTTTACATCTTAACCATTTAGTTATGCAGACGTTTTGATAAATAGGTGTAGTTCCCCTTTAATTAGGCAAAAATACATTAAATAGACAGTACAGTATACATTATATGGCCCAAACGTTGTCTCCTAATTATTGAGGTCACAGAGCAGGTACTATTTGGGTGGTGGGTCATTCTCAGCACTGCAGTAACACTGACGTGGTGGTGGTGTGTTAGTGTGTGTTGAGCTGGTACGAGTGGATCAGACACAGCAGTGCTGCTGGAGTTTTTAAACACCTCAGTGTCACTGCTGGACTGAGAATAGTCCACCAACCAAAAATATCCAGCCAACAGCGTCCTGTGGGCAGCGTCCTGTGACCACTGATGAAGGACTAGAGGATGACCAACACAAACTGTGCAGCAGCAGATGAGCTATCGTCTCTGACTTTACATCTACAAGGTGGACTGACAAGGTAGGAGTGTCTAATAGAGTGGACAGTGAGTGGACACAGTGTTTAAAAACTCCAGCAGCACTGCTGTGTCTGATCCACTCGTACCAGCTCAACACACACTAACACACCACCACCACGTCAGTGTTACTGCAGTGCTGAGAATGATCCCCCACCCAAATAGTACCTGCTCTGTGAGGGTCCATGGGGGTCCTGACCACTGAAGAACAGGGTAAAAGGGGGCTAACAAAGTATCAGAGAAACAGATGGACTACAGTCTGTAACTGTAGAACTACAAAGTGCACCTATATAGTAAGTGGAGCTGATAAAATGGACAATGAGTGTAGAAACAAGGAGGTGGTCAGAATGTTATGCCTGATCAGTGTGTTAACTACATTTAAGGCATGTTTCAGTTGCTGAGATATCATATTTTTTGCAGTGTGATATGTGTATCCATGCCTCTCATTGTTAATATAAGCTCATGTTGTTACTCCAGTTATAATCTGTGTGGAATTATGAATAGTAATATTAGTTTTCTAGGTCATAGAATTCCTAAAATGCTTCTACATGATTGGGAAATGTTAGAAACGTATGCAGGGTTTAAAGTATGGCGGAACTGTTAGTCACTGACACTTGACACACTAGAACTGCTCTTGTTTTTGGGCTGGTGTAAGCCACGCCCATGCATGACTGAACCGTGAGGTAAAGAGAGAGAACCTGAAGAACCGGCCAGATAAGAGAGGCCATAAAAAGAGAGAGAGAGAGCACACCATGCCAAAGGACGAGAAGTTAAAGGAAAAGTTATCTTAGTTTCCTTCCTGTAGCTCAGTTCACTGAATCTGTGTTACTTTATCTTGTCACCTTAAAGGGGAATTCCACCAATTTTTCAAAATTTCTCCATAATTCAGTGGTGAGGGAGTAAACAGAGTCATTCAGAGTGGTTTGATGTGAAACGGCTCAGTAGGGCGGGGCAATATGACAATATTTATCATTACTATGATAAATTCTCACAATACAATATGCTTTTATGATCGGATCGTGACATCATCAGTGCTTGTAGCCACTGACCAACCGCATGTTTCATTATAAACAGGGCAAAATGAGTCTGTTTAACTGGATTTGGTGCCAAATATTGAATAAAATGACTGTGTTCACAGATTTTGATGCACTCTTAAAAATGATGGTTCTTCAAGGGTTCCTTATTAAAGAAAATGGTTCTATATACAACCACATTTCCAAAAAAGTTGGGACGCTGTGCAGAATGTGAATAAAAATAGAATGCAATGATGTGCAAATCATGTAAACCATATATTTAAAGGAAAATATCAATATCAAATGTTGAAACTGAGAAATTTTATTGTTTTCTGAAAATGATATGCCCATTTTGAATTTGATGCCAACAACGCATTCCAAAAAAGTTGGGACGGGGGCCTGTTTACCACTGTGTTTCATCACCTCTTCTTTAACAACACTCTGTAAGTGTTTGGGAACTGAGGAGACACTGCTGTAGTTTAGAAAGTGAAATGTTTCCCTGTTCTTGCTTGATACAGGATTTCAGCTGCTCATCAGTTCAAGGTCGCCTTTGTCGTATTTTTCATTTCATAATGCCCCAAATGTTATCAGTGGTGACAGATCTGGACTGCAGGCAGGTCAGCTTAGCACCAGGACTCTTTTAATACAGAGCAGTGCTGCTTTAATACATGCAGAATGTGGTTTTACATCGTCTTGCTGAAATAATCAAGGCCTGCCCTGAAAAAGACGTCGTCTGGATGGCAGCATATGTTGCCAAAACATGTATATATCGTTCAGCATTAATGGTGCCTTCACAGATGTGCACGTCACCCATGCCATGTGCACTAATGCCCCCTAAACCATCATGAATACTGGCTTTTGAACTGTGCACTGATAACAAGCTGAGTGGTCTTTAGCCCAGAGGTCACAGTGTCCATAATTTCCAAAAAAAAATTCAAATGTTGATTCGTCAGACCACAGGACACTTTTCCATTTCCCCCTCAGTCCATTTTAAATGAGCTCTGGCCCAGAGAAGGTGGCAGCGTTTCTGGATCTTGTTTATATTTGGTTTCTTCTTTGTGTTTTAGAGTTTTAACTTGCATTTGTGGATGCAGTGATGAACTGTTTTCACAGACTTTTTCAGAAGTGTTTCTGAGCCCATGCAGTGATTTCCACTACAGAATCATGTCTGTTTTTAATGCAGTGCTGTCTGAGGACCAAAAGATCACGGCCAGCAAATACTGGTTTTTGGCCTCGACTCTTAGATACAGAGATTTCTCCAGATTCTCTGAATCTTTTAATGATATTTTGTACCGTAGATGATGAAAAGCAGAAGTTCTTTGCTATTTTATGTTGAGAAACGTTTTTCTTGAATTGTTGCACTATTTGATGGTGCAGTCTTTCACAGAGTGGTGAACCCCTCCTCATCTTTACTTCTGAAAGACTCCGCCTCTCTGAGATGCTCTTTTATACCCAATCATGTTACTGACCTGTTGCCAATCAACCACCAGGTGTTTTTTTAGCATTACACAACTTTACCAGTCTTTTGTTGCCCCCATCCCAACTTTTTTGGAATGTGTTGTTGGCATCAAATTCAAAATGGTCAACTATTTTTCAAAAAACAAAACAATTTCTCGGTTTCAACATTTGATATGTTGTCTTTGTACTAATTTCCATGAAACATATGGTTTAAATGATTTGCACATTATTGTTTTTATTTACATTTTGCACAGCGTCCCAACTTTTTTGGAAATGGGGTTGCAGAATGATGAAAACACAAAGAACCCTTTGCATGATTAAAGGGTTCTTTGCTGGTGAAAGTTCTTCATATTATTGTAAAATGTGCTGTAGATTGATCTATATAGAACCTTTTTGGAAAAAGTTACATATAGTACCCCAAAGGGTTTTTCTATTGCTACAATGTCAAGCTTGTGACCATAAAAGAGCCCTTTTTGGTGAAATATATAACCCTTTTCAAAAAGGTTCTATATAGAACCGTCTACAGCACATTCTCCTTCAGTTCTTTTCATGATGCAAAGGGTTCTT